CCTGGTTTAGTCCTGGTTTAAGTTCTAGTTTAGTCCCCCTTTAGTCCTGGTTTTAGTCCTGGTTTAAGTTCTAGTTTAGTCCTTCTTTAGTCCTGGTTTTAGTCCTGGTTTTAGTCCTCCTTTAGACCTGGTTTTAGTCCTGATTTTAGTCCTGGTTTAGTCCTGGTTTAAGTTCTAGTTTAGTCCCCCTTTAGTCCTGGTTTTAGTCCTGGTTTAAGTTCTAGTTTAGTCCTGCTTTAGTCCTGGTTTTAGTCCTGGTTTAGTCCTGGTTTAAGTTCTAGTTTAGTCCTCCTTTAGTCCTGCTTTTAGTCCTGGTTTTAGTCCTGCTTTAGTCCTGGTTTTAGTCCTGGTTTTAGTCCTCCTTTAGTCCTGGTTTTAGTCCTGGTTTTAGTCCTGGTTTAGTCCTGGTTTTTAAGTTCTAGTTTAGTCCCCCTTTAGTCCTGGTTTTAGTCCTGGTTTTAGTCCTGGTTTTAGTCCTGGTTTAGTCCTGGTTTTTAAGTTCTAGTTTAGTCCTTCCTTTACTTTAGTCCTGGTTTTAGTCCTGGTTTAGTCCTGGTTTAAGTTCTAGTTTAGTCCTCCTTTAGTCCTGCTTTTAGTCCTGGTTTTAGTCCTGCTTTAGTCCTGGTTTTAGTCCTGGTTTTAGTCCTCCTTTAGTCCTGGTTTTAGTCCTGGTTTTAGTCCTGGTTTAGTCCTGGTTTTTAAGTTCTAGTTTAGTCCCCCTTTAGTCCTGGTTTTAGTCCTGGTTTAGTCCTGGTTTAGTCCTGGTTTTTAAGTTCTAGTTTAGTCCCCCTTTAGTCCTGGTTTTAGTCCTGTTTTAGTTCTGGTTTAGCCCAAAATGTGAAAACAGGAAAATACCACCATGTAATCCATTTATTTCAACAAAGTAACTGTAATCCAATTACCACTCACTGAAACAGTAACTGTAACTGAATACAGTTACTCATAATTTGTACTCTGATTACGTAACTCTGGTACATGTAATCTGTTACTTCCCAACACTGTTTGTACGCAACGTGAGGAGATATGACCAGAGTTTTTCGTCTTAGGCAGTGTAGATGGAAATGCTACAGTGAAGTGCATTCAACTTTTCCACTCTGGAGGGTGGTTTCAGATTTTTGCATTTTTAAGCCCCAAAAACGCCATCACCGTCTAAACAAAAGGCACTTCTGATCAAATATTTTGTAATTTTTGCCTGCAAGTGTTCTCATGGAAACAGCCCCTTAGTTACTCCCCAACACTTAATATAGTGCAGTGATTCATACGTGTCAGAGTGATGAGAAAAGTATTGTGCAATTAGTACCAATTCAAAAGGAAAAGCATACTCCAAATGTTGCCTAACAGGAAAATGTTGCCTGATAGAAAGATTGTTAAAATGCTTCATGTATTGTGTAAGTTTTCTGGTGTAGGAAAAATCAGTGTGAGTCTAAGATCAGTTTAATAATAATTAAAAGAACACTGTAAACCTAAACTGTCCCTGTCCCTGTCTCAAATAAATAAATAAATAAATAAATAAATACACGTTCAAAGTAATTAAATAGATTAAGTTGTGTATACTCAAAGTTTAACAAATAGTCAGACTAGCTTAATTATGTCAAGTCGCTGTAATATGTTCTTCTTTTTGAGTAATTTTAACTAATATTTTTTGATTAAAGGGAACTACTATTGTGGGTATAAGTGAGCATAACTTAAAAACACAGATGAGGTATAATTTTAGTTTAGAAGAAGAATTAAGTAGTTAAAAAATAATATCTAATGTGTGTATAACATACTATGTGTGCACTATAATGTGTAATGTATGTAAGTATGTATGTATCATTAAACTATACACACATTATATAATACTGATTAGAATAGTAAATCCTCTGACTTTCACATGGGGAACTTGGGTTTAAATCCCCCTCCTACGGTGTCTATAATGCGTGTATACCATAATGTGCGTATATATACTGGATTGTGTGTACAATGTGTGCACAAAAATCATGGATTACATATAAAACTGCAATTTCAGCACTTATGAGCACTTTTAATTCAGCTGTTATCAGAAGGTACAAGAGCAAAGATTGTGACTTTAAAGTTCATCACCTTACATTAATTGAGGCAATTTTTTTGAGTTCTGGTAACTTACTCGGGTTTACAGTGAATGCATTAGGGAGGGGGATTCATAACATCGATGACTAATCTCTTACTTCCACTTAAAATCCCCACTCCTCCACTCACTGTACGAGCGCCTGATCTGTGTGATGTATGTGTGTGTTTTTATGCTGTAGTCTGTCACTGCAAACAAAGTTTTGCTCTTTGGGGATAAATAAAGTTTTCTAATCTAAAACTAAATATAAATTAATGGACAAAACAGCAAATTAAAAACATCAGGTTCACGTAGAGTGGGTTATTATGAACATTTTAAGACCAAAATGACGAGTCTACAGTCTTTGGCACTTGTATTTCCATGGAAACAAGCTGATGGCTGACCCACCACCAGAAAATTTACATAATGCACCTTTAATGATCAACTAATGTCAGATATACATGGAGCTTAATCGTTGGACTAAATGGCAAAATGATTTTTACCTACAAAATTATTATAAAAAATATTAGGTTTATGGAAAATACATGAGTCAAATTTTAAGAAAAGTTCAGTCACGTATGGAGACCAAATCAACTTTTTTTTAAACTATTTGCAATATTTTATCATAGAAAACTCTGACATTATTAGGCGTTTGTGCAATCATTACTTTCAGATTTCAAACTGACTAAAACTGGAAGAAAAAGAAAAAAAGTATACATTTCTTTGTATCTCTTGTCATTTTTTTTTCTTTGCAGAATTTTATAATATATTGCTCTGACAAGGTGTTGGTACAGCAGTCACCATTTTCAGATTTCAATTTGATGAAAACTGTAAAAAAGTATTATATTTCTTCATATTTTTTGACCTTTTTCATCTCTTTGCAATATTGTATAGAATAGAATCCCCTGACAGGTACTACGTTTCTTCATATCTCTTGCCATTTTTTTCCTTCTTTCTAGAATCCCCTGACAAGGTGTTTTTGCAGTCATCATTTTCAGATTTCAAATGGACCAAAACTGTAAAGAAAAAAAAAAAAAAGTATTACATTTCTTTGTATCTCCTGCCATTTTTTTTTTTTTTTTTTTTTTTTACTCCTTGCAGTATTTTATAGAATAGAATCCCCTGATAAGGTGTTTGTGCAGCGATCATCATTTTCAGTTTTCAATTTGACCAAAATTGTATAAAAAAAAAAAAAAAGTATTACATAAAGTTTTACATTTCGTCATATCTCCTGCCATTTTTTTTTTTAACTCTTTGCAATAGTCTATAATAGAAAACTCTGAAAAGACATTTTTGCAATCATCAATTTCAGATTTCAAATGGAACAAAACTGTAAAAAAGTATTACATTTCTTTGTATTTCTTGACTTTTTTTTTATTTATTTTTATTTTTTTTACTCTTTGATCCCCTGACAAGGCGTTTGTGCTGTCATCATTTTCAGATTTCAAACTGACCAAATCTGTATCAAAGTTTTAGCCTGATTCAACAGCTGGTTTCACTTTGTAGAAACTGTCTGACCTCTCAGCATTAGGATACATTCGCTCGACAGTAGGCAGGTACTTTTTTGATTTAACCAGTCACTGCTGTTTGGTTGTGACATATGTAATGCGCCGCTAACGGGGCTAACTGGTATATTAAGCTTTTCCCAGATCCCGTAGGAAGAAGGGCAATAATGTCTTTCCCCTTCATAAAATTCACCAAACATTTTCTTTAAATCCTCGATCTCGGGAATCGTTGACAACACAGAATGTATGGCTCTTCGCTGATTGGCTGGTGCCCGGACTCGCACTTCCGGGGTTCTTGCAAACTGTCTAATTATTGGACGGTTTGCAAGAACATACGGCCCGGGGGCTGGATCTGGCCCTCCAAGACCTTTAATCTGGCCCTCAGCTGATTTTCTACTAAAATATTTTAATAATATTTTCTATTAAAATATTGGTAATTTTCTGCGCCGCTTAGCATAGCAGCGTCTCCAGCGTCTGTACGTGGCCCCTCCCACCAGAGCAGCACAAATGAAGACTCTTTCCAAACGCTCTTAAAGGATGATCGTTTAAACTGTTGACCGTGACACCCTCATCAGTAAAATGTCAAAAATGAGAAAAGTGGAGCCGAGTGCAGGATTTTTCAAGAAAAATTGACTTATTCCTATTTGCATACACGTTCATGTTAAAACATTGTGTTGAAATTGCATTTTTCTTCCAAGTTTCAGGTTGTTCATAATATTATAATAATCTGCAAAAAAAAAGAAGAGTTCAATTAAAAAAGATTTCTGTAATAGATTTGTGTTTCTCTGCACAAATATTTGAACTTATTGTTATTTTTGGGGTATATATAGGACATGAGTTTTCTGGTCCAGCCCCTTTGGGATCAAAGTAGGTTGAGTATGGCCCAAAACAAGTTTGACACCCCTGGTCTAATATATTCTGATTCTTGACCTAGTCGCTGGAGAGAAATGAAATTGAGCGGAAGCACTAGGTGGCGCTGGCCTGGCTTCAAAGTATTACATTTGTTTGTCTTTCCTGACAATTTTTTATTTATTGTTTTACTCTTTGCAATATTTTATCAGATAGAATACCCTGACAAGGCGTTTGTGCAGCAGTCATTTTTAGATTTCAAATTGACCAAATATGTATAAAAGTATTACATTTCTTTGCATTTCCTGCAATTTTTCTTTTCTTTTTTACAGTTTATTACCACAATATACTTATTATAGATCCAGGAGCTTTCACAATTCCATACATTCCCCATAATCCTTCACTCTTGCTGCTGCTTTTCACCGTTATCAGATAAAACTCTCCGTACTAAAGCTAAACATATAAACCACAAACATTCTTTAAAGCTCCTGTTGAAACCATATGCCTTTCCCGGTACTGAAAACAAAGAATAATCCTGAGGAAGCTGGAGTCATTTCCTGCATAAACTAATGTGTCCGGCCACGATAAGACCCTAAGACACCTCCTCTCCTTCCTCCTTCTCTGGCATTGTGCCGTTTTGCAATACATTCTCAATCTGCAGCCACACACTCAAAACTGGAGATCCGTCCCGCGACTCAGCATGGACCCCCGACCTCCAAACTGGCTCATTTTGATAACCGGATTAATACATTGTAAGGATATATATAGGAATTTTATTTTTGTTGAATTTTTTATGCTCTAATTTGAGTTTTTTGTGTTTGTTTTTGTAGGGCAGTGTGCTACGGTGCAGACAAGTAAGTCCATTTTTGTGCTTTTCTTATCTTGCTCTTATCTCTTATCTGTCTCATGGGCTTGGACTAATTTTGTTTTTATAGTAATTTTCAACTTTGAGCTTCTCCCAGTCTCTGATGTACTGCAATATTGTTTTATTTTTACTTCGAGGTACTTCTGAGCATTGCACAGTGCATAAAAGGAATCTTGGAAAGGAAATTTGGGCATGTACGAAGTTAAGGATTTGAAAATACACCAATGTTTTCGACACATTCTTGGATAAACTTTATTAATCTGCAAGGGAAATTGTAAAAAAAAAATGGAAATGGTAATAATAAACTCTAAATAACTAGCAAAAAATAGCACGAGATTTGTGTCAAATAAAGCATAATTATATAAATGTAAATATACAAGTCAAAATAAAATAGAAAAATAAGTAATAAAAATATCTCCGCTATAGATTTGATGTCTGTTGATTTCTTTGCTGGCCTGTTAGTCACTGAATGTAACGGCAGATTTGTTTTCAATTTCACTCAAAATACAGGAACAACGTTTTTATAAGTTGTGGTATTGTGAAATAGGGTCAACTGAATCCACAAGAGATTTGCTGAGGATTGTGGTTAAACCTAGAGGACAGTTATACATTAGTGATAATATATTGTATATTTGTGTTGATGTATGAATATATATTTGCATTATTACCTCCACCAAGGAGGTTATGTTTTTGCCGGCGTTTGTCTGTTTGTTTGTTTGTTTCTCTGTTTGTTTGTTTGTTTGTTTGTCTGTTAGCAACATAACTCAAAAAGTTATGGACCGATTTTGATGAAATTTTCAGGATTTGTTGGAAATGTGAAAAGGAAGAACTGACTTCATTTTGGGGGTGATCCGGAAGAAATCCTGGATTCTGGATCACTTTGAAATTTTAGTTAACATTGTGGTAAATGAGGCCCAAAATTTTGTTTCTCAATATCTCGGTTAATTATTGACCAAACCCCATGAAATTTGACTCAGGGATGGACAATGGGATCCTCTTTCATATTCCAAAGGCTGATCCGGATCTGATCCAGAAGACTGATTTTATGGCAATTTATATAAAAAATGGGGGTAGTCCTTGGCGGAGGTCTGCGCTCTCTGAGTGCTTTTCTAGTTTCTGCTACTTTTTGCTTCTACCTGAGTATTACTATTGAATTGGAATGAAATGATATCAAAGTCTTACAGCACAATTGTTGCTGATTGTTTAATACTTTCTGAATTTAGAGTGTTACAATATGGAAATGAAGCAGGAAGTGCATAGTCTTATTAAATATGGACAATGTCTTAGGAACAAAAGGATGCCACCCCCTTTAATGGAAATAACATTTCCCGCCTACAGAGGGCTTAATTTTATAGGCACCATCAAAATCTAAGTGAAATAATGATATGCCAAAATTTAATTTCTGCAACTCAAAATGCTTCTCAGTGCCTTGTGTGGTCCCATGTGTTTGTCTGCATGTTTGACAAAATCGCGGCCTCTCCTGATGAGATGATGGATGGTGTCTTGGGGGATGTTCTCCCAGATCTGTGTAAGAGCATCACTGAGCTCCTGTAGAGTCTGAGGAGCAACCTGGAGGTGTCTGATGCACCCGAACATAATGTCCTACTGCACCAGCCTAGGGTCTGACAGTGGGTTCAAGGAATCAATCCCGATACCTAATAGCAGGAAGGCTGCTGTTTTTCTAGCTGTTAGAGGTCTGTGTGTCCCTCCATGGATATGACTCCCCAGACATCACTGACCCACCAACAAACCGCTCCTGCTGAATCATGTTGAAGGCAGCAGAGTGTTCTCCTTCTGCAGAGTCTTCTCCAGACTTGTTCACGTCTATCACAAGTGCTCAGGGTGACCATGCTGTCATCTGAGAAAAGCACAGGGCACCGGACTTGCCAATTCTGGTTTCATCTAGAAAATGCCAGTGGAGCTCCATGGTGCTGGGAGGTGAGCACAGGGCCCACTACAGGATGTGGCGTCCTCAAACCACCCTTATGAAGTCTGTTTCTGATTGTTTTGGCAGAGACATTCACACCAGTGACCTGCTGGAGGTCATTTTGTAGGGCACAGACAGGGCTCAGCCTGTTCCTCCTTGCACAAAGGAGCAGATATGGGTCCTACCAATGGATTGAGGACCTTTTTTTTTGGTCCTGTCCAGCTCCCCTAGAGTAACAAAAACTTTTAGGCAGTACATGTTGTGAAAAGTTTGAAAACCACTGATCTATGGCATTTGGGGATGTCAAGATGATTTGGTTGACCAATAACTGTGGTTAAGTATATGACAATTGTAAGAACTAAAAAAATGTATATAGATTCACATGCTAAACCAGAGCTATTCAACTTCATTTTCTTCAGGGCCAGATGTTTTAGAGGGACATGGCCTCTGGACTGGAGGTGCATGTCAATATAGGACCTTTAAAGAATCATAAAAACCCTTTAACCTTCTCCCTGTGTCTGTAGCCTACATCATAGACAACGTGGGCCTGAGTCTCCTCCCCTCCTCCTCTGTGGACAGTGGCACAAACGTGACCCTGGTGTGTGAAGTTTCCATCAGCCAGGACTCCTCCTCCGTACCCACCTTTCCGTTTCCACTTCATCAAAAACGACCAGGTGATCAGCCGCTTGGACACCCAGGAGGACAGGGTGAGCTTACGAGCTGCACCCGGCCCGAGCGGCGGATACGGGGAGCTATGGGTGTCACGTGAACATAGAGGAGAAGAGCAAGAGCAGCCAGGAGAAGACGCTGACGGTGACAGGTAAGGGGACTGTAGATAGGAAAGATAGGGGATAGGAAAAAACGAAATGGATCAGGATTTTTTTTTAATATACTGTATATATTGATGAATTGTTATTTTCATTTAGATTTTTTTCTGTCCTATTAAAAACAAAAAAATGTAAACTGTAAAATCTGATGTGAGTGATCAAAAGAACCAATATCAGAAAGAAATTATTTGAGTCTTTACATGTAATTTAAATAATCTTATAACTTTTTTGAGTGAGCGTGTAACTGCAGTTAGGCTCAATCCACTCCCCCAAATTCTTCAGTGGATTTTGCTGGCGCACTTTTTCCTACCACATTTGTTCCTTCCACTCAAGTTTTTTATGAACATGCTTGGATACAGCACTCTGTGAACAAACACTGACCTTTTGTGGCTTTGTCCTTGTGGAGGGTTTCAGTCCCCATAATTGTGTAGTCTGACTCACTGACCCAGACTGAGAGACCATTTAAAGGCTCAGGAAACCTCTGCAGGCTTTTCCAGTTAATTATCTGATCAGGATGTGACACCATGACCTTCCAATATTCATCTTCTTCATAATATTCTAATTTTCTCAGTTAAAGAATTTAGTTTTTTCATTATCTCTAAGCCACATTCATAAAAAATCATGAAATAAACTCATGAGTCTATATAATATCTGGGTTTGACTTTCTGATTTTTCATGATATTCAAATTTTTTGCAGTGGACTAGTACATTAATCCGTGTGTCATTCGTTCATTCATTTTTCAAAATAAAAACAAAAATAAGAAAATGAAAAAACAACTATTTTCTTCATTATTTGTCTCCAAATCCAAAATGAAAAAAACGGGGATGGACTTTTGCACTGCATACAGACTGACCCAGGACAGAACCAGGACTAAAAATGGACTAAACCGTTTTCAGTACTAGTCTGGTCCTGGTCCCAGTCTAAGTCCTGGTCTCAGTCCCAGTCTGGTCCCAGTCTCAATCACGGTCTGGTTCTGGTCTCAGTCCTGGTCTCAGTCCTGGTCTCAGTCCCGGTCTGGTCCCAGTCTGGTCCCAGTCTGGTCCCGGTCTCAGTCCCGGTCTCGATCCTGGTCCTGTTCCACGTCTCAGTCTTGGTCTCAGTTCTGGTCCAGTCCTGGTCTCAGTCCTGGTCCTGGTCCGGTCTGGTCTCTCCTGATCTGGTCCTGGTCTAAGTCCTGGTCTCAGTCCCGGTCTCGATCCTGGTCCTGTTCCACGTCTCAGTCTTGGTCTCAGTTCTGGTCCAGTCCTGGTCTCAGTCCTGGTCCTGGTCCCGGTCTGGTCTCAATCCTGATCTGGTCCTGGTCTTAAGTCCTGGTCTCGGTCCCGGTCTGGTCCCGGTCTGGTCCTGGTCTGGTCCCGGGCTGGTCCCGGTCTGGTCCTGGACCTGGTTCAGTCCTGGTTCAGTCCTGGTTCAGTCTGTATGCACAAAAGTCCCGCATCGCAGTTTAAGTCACGTAAACGGGAAACAGCCGTTATCTGTTTTTAAACATAAAATCGAAAACTGAAAAAACAAATCATTATTGTTTTTTTTCATTTTGGTTTTGGAGACAAATAATGAAGAAAATAGTTGTTTTTTAATTTTCTTATTTTTGGTTTTATATTGCAAAACAAATGAACGAATGATACACAGATTTACATTCATTGTTGTATTTCAGTGTTAATCCTGAATGAAGCCTGATATCGTCCCTGTAATGGTTTCTCTGTGCTCCTGTCAGGTCTCCAGAAGCCCATACTGCATCTGAATGCGACCAGTATATTTGAGAGTGAGGATGTGCTGGCGAGCTGCAGTGCTCCCTCAGAGAAAGGAGCTCTGGTCTTCTTCTTCTACCAGAGGTTCAGGTCTGGAGACACGCAGGAGGTCAAACGGGCCACGTCCACCGGGAACTCCCTGGAGACCAAACTGGGGCTCAGGCACATCGGAGACAGCCACATCTACTGCGACTACGAGCTCCCCCTGGTGGGACGGTCCAACCACAGCAACCAGGTCCAAGTCACCGTCAAACGTAACTAGACCCTTCAAATTATTTTTTACTGTCTTACCCAGTGTTGGGAGTAACACATTATAAAAGTATTGAATTACTGCATTGCTTTCGACACTACAGGGAAAATAAATGGTAATATTTTACACAGCGCATTACAATGCATTTTTAACCTGGATTGAAGTGGTAGGTTTTAATTTCTCTTCATACAAATTTGCTAAAATCACCGCGATATCAGCAGCGGTGAAACGCCATTGTTACTATTCCAAGCGTCGGGACAGGCCCGGAGGTGTGCCCACATAGACCGTCAGGTAACCACGGGCGAAAGGACCGGCGCAGAGCTCCACGCCCACGGGGCTAAACGCAGCTGACGCCCAATCACACTTTGCGGACGCCCTGCTCCACGGGCTCAGGGTTCTCTCAGGGACCTAGATTCCAAGTTCATGATTAGTCCTGGTTTAGTCCTGGTTTGGTCCTGGTGTCTTTTTAAACTCCATACACCTTCACTAGAATCATTTGGATGATTTCAGCCCTAAAATTGCCAAACTCTGGTGAACTAAAGGTAAAAGGAGTTGTGAATTTGAAAACTACCACTTTCATGACATCACAAGGTAGAACAGAGCATTTTAACATTTGGAGATGTAGACAGACTAATAATAAAGGGTTATTCAAACATTTGTCAATGAAACAAAACACAACTCCAGGTCTGTTTTTAAGGAAGTAACAACATTCTAGTCCATTCACCTTCACAGGCAGAGGCGGCGCTACCATTAGGCAACAGTAGACCGCCACCTAGGGCCTTCGAACCTGGAGAGGCTCCCAACCAATTGTCCTCAGTGCTACTAATGGCCAAGGCCTCAGAGCAATTAGATTTTTTCTCAGTATGACATTAAATGAGAGTAGTTTACTTTTAAACAAGAAAACACCATCAAAATAGTATCTGATTGTTTAATCTATTTTAACTGTTTTAACTATTTTTAATCTAAGCGTTCCTCCCTTTCACGTTAGAATGGACGAGTCAACTTGACCCTTATTTGAACATAATCATGGCATAATCATAATCATATATAATAGATGTAAACAAAAATGTAATTGTACTAGCAAAAAAATAAAACTACTTTCAGCTCTGGTTATCTAGTAGGCAACCTTACTAATCAGACAAGTTTCCAATCCACCATAATTCAAATAAAGACGTATGTGCCTCATGAACAATGGGAAAAAAACAAACGATAAATATATATTTTTAAAAAAACAACAACAACAACAACAACAAAACAGTGCATTATAGTGAGGGCCCCAAACTCAAGTTCACCTAGGGCCCCAAAATTGCTAACTCTGCCACTGTTCACAGGATCCATTCTAATAATTCTTATTCTAATCATTTCATTTTCAAATTTCACTAAATGTCTAACCAAGATGTTTCAAAATCCATAATAACTGATCGTATTTCTCTTTTAAATTCTTACAGGTATGTTCATAGACCCAACCATGAACATCCTGCCCTCTTCTGAAGTGTACGAAGGCGACGTCATAGAGGTGGTGTGTAAGGTTGTGGGTGCGCCGCGTGATGTGGAAGTAAACGTGTTTCTGATAAAAGACAGAAAGATCCTGCGAAGGGAGCCGGTGAGTCTGAGTCACAGGTTCAGGGCCAAGGATGGAGATTCGGGGGAGCTGGTGTGCAAGGCCGAGTCTGGGGCGCTACAGAAAGAGACCTACATGAAGATCACAGTCAAAGGTGAGGAGCACATGGGCTTTTACAAGCAATTATGACAAAGAATTCAGTAATAACCATAGACTGAATAAAAAAGTGGACTAAATGTGACGTCACCTCTAGAGTTTGGCTCCAGTCAAATGAAGCTCATCGAGGCTGCAGTCAGAGGTGGGGACTTGCAAGTTGTGACTTGGACTCGAGTCAGATTTGAGTCACTATTTTAAGGACTTGAGACTTACTTTGCACATCAGTTATTTGAGACGGGTGCGTTGGAGGAGAGGGAGCAGCCGAAGAACATAGAGAAAAATCCTGCACACCGTCTTACGTGCAAATTGTGAGATTTATTAGGACAAACCATGCAACGTTTCGGCACTAGGCCTTCGTCAGGCAAACAGAATGAGAGCTCAGGTGGCCATCTTAAATAGAGTGTGGCAAGCACCCAAGGGTGACAATTCGTAAAGAAACAGTGTACGTGAAACGCCAGAATTTAAAAAACAAAGACAATCAACATACAGTGTAATAATAATAATAATGAAATATTACTCATAGTAGAAAAATCATTAAATAATAATAGAAAAATAAGAAGAGTATCTGGACACATTTTTTTTTTCTATGATTATTTAATGATTTTTCTACTATGATTAATTTGCAAGTAAGCTGGTGTGAATTTTATCTAAGGACTTGAGACTTGACTTGATAAAGTAGACCAAGACCTTTGACTTGACTTGGACTTTTGGGCATATGGCTTAAGAAGATTTGACACTTCTCGTAAAAAATATGTTTCTAGAAAATTCTTTTTTCTTTACAGTTGATACATGTGATGCTTAATTTTACAGGAACAAACTGGAACATGTCCATCCCACTTTGCTATTTGTTACTAAACAGTAAATGAAGTACTGTAAGATGGTATCCTCAAATATCTTACAGTAATATACAGTACAATACAGAGGGAACTACATAGAACATGGTCGTTCCATTTCAGGATTTTAAAATCTGAATTCTTTCTATTCTGACCATAATAATTCACTCTCTTGCATTTCTACAACTATAAATACTCATGTAAATATACCATGACTTTTTAAGTACAATTTAGTTTAAAAATCATATGAATTGCAAAAAGCTTTGGTTTAATGACTTGAAATGACGCTCAAAGCAGACGACTTGGACTTGAATTGGACTTATGGGCCAGTGACTCGAAACTCGACTTGGACTTGCCTGTCTTTGACTTGGGACTTCAGGTCAAAGACTTGAGCCTTACTTGAGACTTGCAAAACAACGACTTGGCTCCACCTCTGCAAGCAATTATAGGGGCGAATTTGGAGTCGAGTTCCATGTTAGGAATAGAAATTTATTTACAGACAAAATAAAAAAATAAAAACACCAGGATCAGGTATAGAGGGTTAATATGAATATTTTAAGACCAAAATGATGAGGCTCACTGCAGCAGTAACAGAGAGAGGGGAGACTATTTTTCAATCAATCGGATGGAGTCAAGGGAGATGGTTAGACGTCACTGTATACCTTTAGCAGTTGTTATAATTTGATAATTGTCTGGACTCTTTTCTTCTCAGAGTTGATCTCAAAGCCACGCCTGATAGTGGAGCCTCTGGACTTATTTGAAGGCGACTTCCTTAAAATGACCTGCTCTGTGTCCATCTACGTTCCTGACCGAATACAGAACTCCAGCCTCAGATATTCCATCTACAAAGAGCGCACACAAGTCCACCAAGGAAGTGTTTACAATATTTCAGCCGATGCCTCTGTAAACGGGAAGTACTCCTGCAGAGTCCAAGCTTCGTCTTCCACTGGCAGTTTTATCAAAGAAAGCACCACGGAGATTGTAATCGCCAAAGGTAAGCTTAAAGGTCTGAAATTACATAAAACTGACTCTCGTGAGCTTTTAGTCACGTTAAAATGCTGTTATCTCCTCATAAACAGACCTGGAGTTGTGTTTTGTTTCATTCACACATATTTAAGTAACATTTTATTATTAGTCTGTCTACATGTCCAAAGCTCAAAATGCTCTTTTTGAAATTTGCAATTCCAAGGCTGAAATCATCCCAAAACATTAAAAACACAGTAGAGCACTTTTCTGAATTACCACATCACCAGGTGGAACAGAGTGTTTTTTGTTAGAGAAAAGAACTCGGCCAAAATATGCAGAATTTGTGTGTTAAACATGTGTGAATGAAACAAAACAAAACTCCAGGTACAGTATGTTTGTGATGAGGTAACAGGGCTGTCGATAAATAATAAATATGAAACAGTTACAACTTAAATGTAACCACAGCTATTGGCAATGGTGAAAACAACCTGCATAGCCTCATGATATCTGCACTACTGTCCTACTGACCTGCCACATGAGGGACCAGGACTAATCCCAGGACTAAACCAGGACTAAAACAGGACTAAAACAGGACTAAACCAGGACTGAACCAGGACTGAGTGTCGGGATGGGCCCGGAGGTCGGGTGACCATGGGCAAAAGGACCGGCACAGAGCTAAATACCCCACGGGGACTAAGCCTGAACGCATTTTGCCCTGTTCCGTGGGCTCGGGGTTCTCTCTCTCGCTCTCAAGTCCAAGATTAGTCCTGGTTTATACCTGGTTTAGTCCTGGTTCAGTCCTGGGTCAGTTCTGGTTTAGTCCTGGTTCAGTCCTGTTTTAGTCCTGGTTCAGTCTTGTTTATGTCCTGGGCACATGTAGCCTGTGGTTTATGTTCTGTAGGTTATTATGAATATTGTTAACGTTAATAACATGATTCCACATCAGTTTGAGTAAAAACAATCTATATGACACCTCTGTGTATTTCGGCCTGTCGAGATGACGTGACGAACCGCGTACCCCCACTTAAAAAAAAGAGCCTTTTTGCCCCCGGCCCCCAGATTTCTGTCAACAGGCCTATGAGGTAATCTAGGTCCTTTAACAGAGCTTTGATATATGATTATTTAATGTAGTGCATTGTTGCTAAGTGAGTAAAAAAAAAACATTTTAGCAGTCTCACATTTAATTAGAAAATGTATAGAATATTAGTCATATCTGAAAAAATGACAAGGTAAGCGTATTTTGTTTTGACAAGACATTGAATAATATTTTTCCTGAAGAAACAGTACTATTATTTGAGAAACAGTTTGGGTTCCTCTTCCTGCTGTGAGTAAGTCTACGAGTGATAAAAACTCTGTTGACAATATGAAATGATTTGAACATTTGAGTTTCAAGTAATCGAGTAATATTATTTTGAAGTAACATTAATCTAGTATTCTTACTTGAGTAACATTTTTGGGTACTCTACTACCTTTGGAGCTTGTTCAGAAATGCGACAATCAGATTTTTACTTAAATTTAAGAATCACAAAGATCTTATTTTGTATCCTGTGAACCATGCGGTAACAAAAATGTATTAATCCACAGTTGGCGTATATTTTTGTCCTTGTTTGTTGTAGTTCCTGTCTCCAAACCCACCATGCGTGTCGTGGGCGGTACACTGATTTTGGGAAAGCCCTTCCAGCTCATCTGCTACAGTGAAAAAGGTTCTCTGCCCATCTCCTACACGCTCCACGGCCCCAAGAACTACAAGGAGGTCAAAGTCATCACCAGACCACTAGAGGCGGGCGTCTTTAACGTCACTGTCAGCAAGAGCTCAGATCTCAACAACTTCCTCTGCCTCGCCAGGAACCACAAGAAACTACCACCAGAAACGGCAAATCAGCTGCTCACCTCCACCATAATCATTGGTATGTCTTCAGTGGTAAAAAAGAGAAAACTATTTTGGAGTTTAAAATGTGGATTTGAGTAGTTTTAATTAGGTCGGGTTTGTTGACAAGGGCATCTTTATGTGTAAAATGCCTCAGTCGTCCAGGTAGAATCCATGGCAAAAGGAGAAGTTCAGTTTGTCGACTGGACAAAAATTTATTTGGTTGAATACGTTTTGCAGCTCACCCAAGCCGCTTCTTCAGTTCTGGTCAGACGCTGGTGCACACGTCCTTATATCTGCCTGAAGGGAGGAGCTAACTACACTGAAACTACTCTGAAACTAATACATCTACTTGTTTATAGTTTCTGTTTGTTAGTTAGTTAGTTAGTTAGTTAGTTAGTTAGGGCCATAATGGAGCTTTCACACCTCTGGACCTGATGTTGATGATGGACCTGTTTGTTTTGATTTAGGTTTGAGGATGGAGTTGTAAATCCTCCATTTCTGTTCAAAGAAGGATTGCCTTTCCTAACAAAAATAGCTTCCTTAATTCCCCTCTCAAACTAATTCTTTTCTCTGGCTAAGACCTGTACCTCACTGTCCTCAAAAGAGTGGGCCGAGGTTTTTAGGTGGAGATGTACAGCAGACTGAGGTCCACTATTGCTCTCTCGTCTGTGTTAGTACATCCTCTTGTGAAGTGGCTGTTTCATTATTCCAGTGTAGCTGTCATTACACTGAATGGAATAGACCACATGGCTTTGTTTGTGGCTCAGTGTTTTGTCCATTGGGTGGGCCAGTTTCTGTCTTACAGTATACAGTATTTCCTGCACTATTAGGCGCTCTGGATTGTAAGACGCACTGTCATTAAATGGTCTATTTTTGAACTTTTTTTCACAAATAAACCGCACCAGACTTTAAACAAAACACAACAGTTGGATGGGTTAGTGGGACTTTGTTTGGCGCGTTCACGGTGACTCTGGGCTTTGTTCAGTTGTGGCGTGTAGGGAGGGTGCTGTCTGGGACCAACGGATTGTTGGTGTGTTCGCAGTGACTCAGTTGTTCAGTTGTGTTTAGAAGTGGCACATTGGCCTCGCTTTTTCGGTTCATTCCTCCGTTCCGTTCCTCGTCTGCGTGGAGTGATGAGTGTGGCTGCGGGTGTTTTTAGCTGCGCAGTCGCTGTCTGAAGTCGTGCTGGAACACTTGAGTGGATTCATGTATGGGGCGCTCTGGATTGCGAGGTGCGCTGTAGTTTTTTGATGGGGTTAGAGGCGTAAGAGCACGTCTAATAGCCCCTAAAATACGATAACATTCCTAAGCACATTCATACAGGTATGTTGAGTGAAGTGTCTTGCCTATGGACACAGCACCTAAATGAAACTCCCCATGAACTCCTTCAGTGAGCTGCAGAGGCTGCACTAGCACTGATTCATGACTGTCTTCAGGGGCCTGGGGTTTAGGTAGTGGCCATTCAGATCAGAGAGAGACATTTTACCATTTTAACACCAAATTATGACATAAATCAGACCATCAGTTCCAATGATTTTGTGATTAAGAATAAATCAGCATTTATAATAGTGTATTTGATTTGAAGATATCTACCGTTCAAAATCAATATCAAAATTAAAATCTTGCAAAATGGAATCTTATGAACTTTACTCATGTTAGAAATGTTGTTACCTCATCATTTTTGGCATTTTGTTTTGTTTCAGTCACACACGTTTAACACACAAACATTGCATATTTAGACTGAGTTCTTCTCTCAAGCATAAAACATTTTCTTCCACCTTGTGATGTCATGTGGTAGTACAGGAAGTGCCCCATTGTGTTTTTAAACTCCACACACCTTCACTAGAATCGTTTGGATGATTTCAGCCCTGGAATTGTCAATCTCTGCTGAACAAAAGGTGGAAAAAAGCATTTAGAACTTTGGAGATGTAGACAGACTAGTAATAAAGTGTTACTCAAATATGTGTGAATGAAACAAAGCACAACTCCAGGTATATTTGTGATGAGGTAACAACATTATGGCACGGCTTAAAGCTCACAAGAGTCTGTTTTGCATAATATAGATCCTTCAAAGATAACTAATCCAAATCTTGTATTGTCTTTCAGAACCTGTTTCAAAACCGATCCTGACCAGCGTTCCGGACATGGGGGACATCACGGAGAGGCACGACGTGACCCTGTACTGCTCGGTGCTCAGAGGCAGCCCCCCGGTCACATTTACCTGGTACAGAGCTGAATCTCGGACCCTCCTCGTCTCCGAGACCTCCACCAAACTCAAAGCTTCCCACGTGATCAGACTCGTGGGCACTGATCACAACGGCGGGTACTACTGTACGGCCACCAACTCGGCCAACGCCACCAAGAACAGCGATGTATTAACAATCGCAGGTATATAAAAGGAGCTGCACGTGATTTTTACTCTGAAAATTAGAGCTGGTTCAATTTTAAACGGTTTGCAGTGGTCTGAAGGTATTCCTCGCTTACATTATACATGCCAGGCATCCTAATTATGCACAATTATGAGTTTATAAGCGCTTTTCATAACTTTTAAAGACCAGTGTGGAGTTTTGACGCGAAAGCAGTGGTGAAAGACGTACTCTGTTTTGTTACTTAAGTAAAATTACAAATACAAAACCAAAATAAACACTCAAGTAAAAGTATCACATCAAAAAATCTACTTAAGTAAAAGCATTAATGTACCTGTTTCAAAATGTACCCAAAGAGTAAAAAGTACAAGTGTTTTACTGTTTTGAGCTCTAATAAAGCTTTAAATGTATCATATATATTATTGTTATGATTTTGGTACAGATTTGCAAAATTTTGTTCAGCAGAAACAACTGAATGTATTGTTTTCAAACTGTTATATTTGTTTACTTGTTGTTATATTGTATCAAATTATGAACGTGTTAAAAATAAACCCTCAGCAAGTCTCAAACTATAACTAAAAATACTTTTACTTTTCCAGTCCTGTTCAAAAATGTTGTACAAAGCACAAATATAGCTCTCAAATGTAAAAGTATCCAGATAAAGTACAGATACCTAAAGTACAGTACTTTACTACTTGTAGGCCTACTTTGTTACATTCCACCATTACACTAAAACCATAGAACTATAATAAAATCTGGAAGATGAACCTAAGATGGCGCCATATTGTTTTCAATGGTCTGTGCTCAATGGCGCATAGGCCCAAAACAAAGTTTCACTTCCGCATTTACTTCCTCAATACGAGCGAGTGCCTCCCACCCGTCTTACGCCTGTAACGTGCACAGCGTGGAGCGTTTGGACCAATCAGAGGGAGAGCTGCTAGAGTGAAGCAAGAATAAACTCAGAGCGGGGCTAGTAAACTTTTAGGCGCTTTGAGGATTAAAAAAATTGTAAAAAGTTTATGTCGTGAAAATAGAAAAGAATCCCTTCAAAATCCGACCTGTCAGCCAAACACAGGTAGTTTGAATTCCCAAAAAATACATTGTGCTTCTATGGGAGAATTCTGCAGTACCTGGAGCGGCCACTAGTCGGTCTCGAGCCAGGACGGCTTATAGATCTATGGCTAATGCTAAAAGCAACTAGCATACTAACGTGCACTTCCTGATTATCAGACACTAAAATTCTAAGTAGCTGTGATTTAGACCTCAAGAGCAGTTTTTACAATATATTTGTACTGAGTTGATACAGTACAGAAAAAAACAAGTACGATGCCTTTAAATGGAACATATTACATAAAATTGTCTTTGAAAAACTTTTGTATAACGATGTAACCTCCTCATTATCTTACACAGAGTTGTATTGCAATTGATTCATGCAGGTTTGAGTAATCCTGATTCTGCAGCTAAAGCTTTAGTGTTCACCTAATTACACTGTACACAGCCATCTGACTTAGACCCGACTTTCCTGGTAACTTCTGATTTGTTTGCAGTGAAGATGGCGGGCTGGAAAAAGGCGCTGATTGCGATAGTGTGCCTGCTCCTCCTGGTGGCGCTCATCCTGGTCGTCACCTTTAAGAAGCGGCTGATCAGCTTCAAGAGGAAGAGAGGCCCCGAGCTGTCAGTGTGAGTGACTGTCATTGAACAACTATTGATACTGCAGATCTGACCCTTATTCTCGCTATACCAATCTCTCTCTTCCTCTCTACACTCCTCTCTATCACTCTCTCACCACTCACTCTCTTTCTCTCTACATTCTTCTATTTCTTTCTCTCTACGCTCCTCTATCTCTTTCACCACTCACCCCCCCTCTTTCTCTCGCTCTCTCTGTCCCTTTTTATCTTTGTTTCTATCACTTCTCTCTGTCTCTCTGCTACTCTCTATCACTCTCTCTACCTTCCTCTCTCTTATCATACTCTCTCTATTACTAGCGTTACCTTCCCCTCTCTCTGCCTCTTTCTCTCTACATTCCCCTCTATCACTCTCTCTCACCATTTATTCTCCCTCTCTCTCCGTTTCCCTTTTTGTCTCTATCACTCTATCCACCCTCCTGTCTCTCTCTCTCCACTCCTCTTTATCACTCCCTCTACCTTCCTCTCTCTCTCGCTATACTCTCTCTATTACTCTCTTTACCCTCCTCTCTCTCTCCCTTTCTCTACCCTCTGTCCCTCTCCTTCTTTCTCTTTAACCCTGTCTGTCACCCCCCTGTCTCTATGCCCTTTTCCCTCTCTTTCCCGCTCTCTACACCTCTCTCTGTCACTCTCTCTACCCCCTCTCTCTCACTCTACTCTCTTTATAACTCTCTCTGCCCTCTTATCTTTCTCTCTCTATCACTCCCTCTACCTCCCTCTCTCTCCACCTCTCTCTCTCTCTACACTTCTCTCCGTCACTCTCTCCACCCTATCTCCCTCTCCTTCTTTCTCTTTAACCCTTTCTGTCACCCCCATGCCTCTTTCCCTCTCTTTCCCGCTCTCTACACCTCTCTCTATCACTCTCTCCACCCTCCACTCTCTCTGCCTACCTCACATTCACTTTCTCTCTCCCTACACTCTTCTCTATCACCTCCTTCTCTCTCAACTTTTCTCTCTACCCTCCTTTCTGTCACTCTCTCTACCTTTCCCTCTGTCTCTGTTTCTTTCTCTACACCCCTCTCTATCACCCCTTTCTCTTTCTCTCTCCACAACCCTTCCTGTTACTCTCTCTCTACCCTCGCCCTCTTTTTTCTTTCTCTACACCCCTCTCTATCTGTGTCTCTCTCTCCACATCCCTCTTTCTCCCACCCCTTCTTTCTCTTTCTCTCTTTCTCTCTGTCAGCAGGATGTAAATACACTGGGATTGTGGGAATGTTATGCCAATCTTTTAAATTTGTTTTTTACTGATAGAATAACCTCTTACTTTTCTCTTCCTCTCTATTCTCTCTGTCGCTCCCTCTCTCGCCTTAGGAAGTCGGCCGGTACTAAAATAGAGCGCTTGAGTCTCACTCAGTCCGAGGTCGTGCACATGGCTAACGGTAAGACGGGGCGGCGCTGTCTCACTCGTAAAATCCGTAGCACAGACTGTACCTTCTGCACTGGGTAATACTTTAAAACCTGCCCCATGCCCCTCTCCCCCTCTCCCCTCTCTCCCTCCACAGCCACCCCCTCCATGATGGGCAAGAGCGTGTGGAGCGAGCACGTATCCGGATCTGGTGAGAAGGGCAGCGGGGGAGCTTTTTTTTTTTTTTTTTTCTTTAAGTCACACCTGGGTTCCCACAGTCATGAAAATCCTGGAAAAGTCAATCAAAGTTTGAGAAAAGTAATGTAATTTTAGTATGTCTTTCACACAACTACAGCGTTTTGTTAAGTTACCATTAGGCTATTATGATTAATTTCCAAACAAATGCGCCTTTTGTTTAAGAGACACGACAATAAATCCACACTGACAGTATTTCGAATGTTAAAAAACTATAATATCAAACCATGAGGTGAGTGGAAAGGGTTAACTTTTCATATTTAGCCCTAAAAGTCTGATCAGTTCTGCATATGTAGGTGCCATAAAGTCATGGAAAATTACCTTTAGGTCATGAAAAAGTCTAGCCTGATTCATTAGCCAGTTTCACTTTGTGGAAACCACCTGACCTCGCAGCATTAGGATTCGTTCGTTCGATGGTAGGAGGGTACTTTTTTTATTTAACCAATCGCTGCTATTGGGTCATGACGTATGTAATGCGTGGTATATTCGGCTTTTCCCAAATCCTGTAGGAAGAAGGACAATAATAATGATATAATGATAAAATTCACCAAACAACAGCTTTAAATCTTCAATCTCCTGAATCGTAAACAACACAGAATATATGGCTTTTCGCTGATTGGCTGGTGCCCGAACTCGCACTTCAGAGGTTTTTGCAAATCGTCTAGTGTATTCCGATTCCTGACGTAGTCGCTGGAAAGAAATGAAAATGAGTGGTGACACTAGGTGGTGTCAGCCTGGCTTGAAATAGCCATGGTATAGTATAAAAATTTTGTCAGTGAAAAAGAGTGGGAACCCAAGTTATCTCAAAGTGTAATAATAAATAGGTTAGTTTTGTTTTATTTATGCTTACATGACTTTACATTCGCGCTCGAGGTATTCATTCATAGGCGATGCGTTTCAAGTGCCATGCTCAAGTGCACAACAAAAGCACTGAGGAACAACAGGATGGTATTTCCAATAATGAGTCAGTACAGCATGGTTAGATTAATTTTGATCTTATTCGTTTTGACATTACGATTTTTTATTTTTTTTTGTTTCAGTCAAGTTCTTCTTATCTTTTTTTCTTTTATTATTTATTTATTCTGATTACTTTTTAGAACATTTTATTCACTTGTCATTAGCAAAAATGTGACACCGGCAAAAATAACCACAAAACTCCCATTGCAAGCCCCCCTAAGGAAGTCGGCTGGTGTGAAACGTTATGTACACGTCTGAGTTGATTTATTGCGTCCAGTGTTATGCAGCTCCTGTGTCAACATTAGGTCACAACGTTCAGACAGCGCAGAGATTATAGACTCAAAGGTATGGCATGCCGAGCGGAGGGTACACCACCTGCTTGTCTCAGTGGAGCTGCTTTGCCTGGAACAGTCTGGCCTTACATGTATCTATTGCATTTACTATAGTTTATATCAATAGCAGATTTTTTTATGCAATTTGAAAAACTTATCTCCGCCCACTTCTCTGTACTTATTATTCTAAAAATTCAAACTCGAGGACTAGGGATGGGCATTCGATAAAATTTTCTTAATCGATCGTCGAGAGAATTAACGATGCATTATCGATTAATCATTAACATTTTTATATTAAAGTTATCATAATTTTTATTACTATCTGCACTACTAATCTGCATAAATAAATTCAACTTTATGACATATAAACCGTAACCACTCTAGAGCCACATCAGCCCGTTTGAGATTATAATGTGTTTAATTCAGTTTGCGCAACTCTAACCGAAACGAAACTTAAAACCACATGGCGAATTTGCATAGACTAAGCGAAAAAAAAAAAAAAAAACAGCTCTCAACTCAGTGGAATACAGGTTAGTGTGACCATATTTGCGTTTATCAAAACCAGGACACCGTACGGGGGGTGGGAGGTGGGGACTCGTCATCGAAATTGAACTACTCTCACCTGGCAAAGCTTGTTAATGTGTTCGGTGTCCTGGTGAACTTTTTCCCACTGGACACCGAACCATATGTGCTGCTTTGTACACTGTGCACATGGCCTCCCACTTGTCCTGGCCGGAAAGGAAAGCGTGGAATTTCTTGTACGAGTCATCGTTAAATACGCATTTGCGCTTCGGCATGTTGCAGACTGACCGACTGTTTGTGTCTCGCTCCTTCTGAGTGCAGAGAGACACATGTACGGACCCCTGTTTTTGTCCCCGGACACAGACATTTGGTCACCCTACGCTACGCACAGCAACCTACATTCGGTTTGTCAATTAAAATGAACGTAATTGATGAAATTCTTAATCCAATTAATCGACTAATCATGCCCATCCCTATCCAGGACAAAGAAGTAGGGTTAAAAAACACCACAAAGCCATTTTTCAACAAATGACCAACTGTAGTGCTCCCCATATTTTCCTAACACACTCCTAATGTCCTAATTATTCACCACAATGAGTTTATAAGTTAGGGTGACCAGAATTTCTAAATAACAAACTGGGACATCCTCATTTTTTGGTGGTTGGTAATAATAAAACTGTGAAACGAGTTTGTAATGAAGGAAAATTGTTATGCACTCGGCACTAATGTGAGTCAGTATAGTCACATTTTCTTTGTGTTTTGGTCGTTCTTAAGCAGCTTTTTTGTAGTTTACCTAAACAAATTACAATATATACCTCTCAAATTTGTCAAAAACAGGGACACCAGGGACATTTCTTGTATAAAACTGGGACAAATCACTGATTTTGGAGAGATCTGCTGGGAAAGGGGACACAGGGCTCAAAACTGGGACTGTCCCGGGTAAATACGAACATCTGGTCACCCTATTATAAGTACAAATTCAAGAGGCCAGAGTGGAGTTTTGCTGTCTTGGCAATGCTGATTACAACTAGCATGCTAACAGCGCAACAGCAATACTTCTTGGTTCACAGACGATTAAAAAATAAAAATAAACGCTTTGAAATTACATCGCAGATAGCACATTTGTATCAATAGCAGTTTTTATGCAATTGAAAAACTGACCTGTAACTTTGGAGATCAGTTTAATGCCATACTGCGAAATGTTGCTGTGAAATCATGTTGGGGGTGTTTTACATGTATCTCTATTGGCAAAGTGTTAGTTGCCATGGTGACGCAATGCACACATAAACAAACACAGACAAAAATACATTTTAAGATTGTTTTGGAAATTCAAGTAAAAATACAAAATGGATTTGAACAACATATTTTGAGAAACCTCTGATTTCATAATTAGTAAAACATAAAAAACACTTGAAGCAATTTAAATCAATAAAAAATGTCGATATTGGAGTGCTGCGCTGGATCAAAACAACAAACACAGGCGCTCATCAGACCGCGGGGCTTGAAATCTTGTAGAGAAGAAAGAAAGAGGATGATGGAGGCGCTCTGATTTGCAGTGTATTTATTTGTGGTCACGCCAACTCGTTTCGGGCGTGAGGGCAGCCCTGGTGAAGACTAAGTAGTCGAAACGCGTTGGCGTGACCACAAATAAATACACTGCAAATCAGAGCGCCTGTGCCATCCTCTCTCTTCTCTACAAGAATTTTAAATCAATATTCAATTCATCAAGTTTAAGTATCGATTTGCATATATTCAGTGTTGGGGAGTAACAGATTACATGTACAGGAGTTACGTAATCAGAGTACAAATTATGAGTAACTGAATTCAGTTACAGTTACTGTTTCAGTGAGTGGTAACTGGATTACAGTTACTTTGTTGAAATAAATGGATTACACGGCGGTATTTTCCTGTTTTCACATGTTGGGCTATATCCCCCTTTTCTTTTCTTTTTTTTTTTTTTTTTGTAATTCCATTATTGCCGGAAACTACACCAGGTCTAAACTAGATCTAAACTGGATCTAAACCAGGATTAAACCAGTACTAAAACCAGGTCTAAACTAGATCTAAACTAGATCTAAACCAGGTATAAACCAGGACTAAAACCAGGTCTAAACTAGATCTAAACCAGGTATAAACCAGGACTAAAACCAGGTCTAAACTAGATCTAAACCAGGTATAAACCAGGACTAAAACCAGGTCTAAACTAGATCTAAACCAGGTATAAACCAGGACTAAAACCAGGTCTAAACTAGATCTAAACCAGGTATAAACCAGGACTAAAACCAGGTCTAAACTAGATCTAAACCAGGATTAAACCAGGACTAAAACCAGGTCTAAACTAGATCTAAACTAGATCTAAACCAGGATTAAACCAGGACTAAAACCAGGTCTAAACTAGGTCTAAACCAGGTATAAACCAGGATTAAAACCAGGTCTAAACTAGATCTAAACCAGGTCTAAAACAGGTTTAAAACCAGGACTAAACCAGGACTAACCCAGGACTAAACCGGGATTAAACTGGGACTAAACCATGACTAAACCAGGACTAAACCAGGACTACAACAGGTCTAAAACAGGATCTAACAGGATTTAACAGGACTAAATCATGCTGCGTGGACGTGTCTCTTCCTCTTCTATCAATAATATTTTTAATACGGTTCAGTAAAGTCTGGGCTTTTTATTTTCTTTTAGCAAAGAAAACATCTTATGTTACGATATCCTCGTCTTTGCTTCTCTACAGCAAATCAAGTAATCCAAAGTATTCAGATTACGTTACTCACTTTAAGTAATTTAATGGATTCTGTTACAAACTACATTTTGGGGTATGTAATCTGTAATCTGTAGGGGAATACATTTTAAAAGTAACCTTCCCAACACTACATATATTAGAGTTGAATGCAAAAAGTAAAATATGCCTTCTTTAAAGCTTTATATTTCTTCTCCACAGAGTCAGATAACGAGAGCGGTGTAGTCGCTCCTAAAACCCCCGAGCTGGACTACGCCGAAGTGCAGACTAAACAACCAGATCCCAGCAGAGGTAATAGTTGTTTATTTAAGTGTTTATTTATACAGACACTGACTGACACTGACCAAAACTGACCTCTGTCCTATTTTGACCTCAGCTCCGGTGAAGAAGGGCACGGACACAACATACAGCGAAGTGCGCCACTCCACACAAGGTAAACAACAGCACGGGATTTTTATAGAGCAGATGAGTTCAGAAACACTGTCTGTAACTAAAAAAGATAAAACAACAAAAAATAAAAGTAGGGTAACACTTTATAATAACTACACTTTTGAAAGTATTTAAAAGCATTAATAAAGATTCATAATGACAAATGATCAGGCTTAGTATTTACTTAATTAATATCCTATGCAAAAGAAGAAAGAAATCCGTGTTGCAGTTCTTTCAAGCTCCCAAATTGTGTCCCAAATTTCAGTGACACCACAATGTGATGGTTCAGGTCAAGCCCTTCTTCTGCCCTTCTTCTTCAGACCCGAAACGTCACATTGTGGTGTCACTGAAATAAAAACTTGGGAGCTTCACAGAACTGCACTGAGGATTTCTTTCTTCTTTTGCACAGGTTTAGTTTTTGGATCAGCACACAGTCTGCAATTTTTGGCAATTTTTGTTGGATGTGTATGTCTCTATACCAGTATTAATTAATATCCTACCCATAACTTCTGCCTCTAACCACTAAAGCAGGGGTCACCAAACTTTTTTTTTCTCTGGGGGCCACATTATCGCTCTTGACTGTGATGGGGGCTGGGGTCGGGTCGGGTTGTATAGCCGAGTTTCAGCTGACGTCATTGTTATTAAAGCCCGCGTTGCATGCTGGGAAATATTTTGGTCGGAGGCAAGAAACACGGTAGCGGTCAAACACAGTGCATAACCTCGCGTATTTATCCCCGATAAAGGTAAATTCCTGCTGCATTATCGGATGCACAAATAGAAGCACGGAAGAAGGAAAATGTCTTTTTCGTATTCTGAAGTGAAAAGAACCGCTAACGGTGAATTAAACGGCTTTCAAACATTCGCAGAGCAAACGTACAAGATCAGAGCAAACCATGGACTCCAACAAGTTCAACAACGCTTCAAGACTCTTGGAGGTTTTCATCTTTTCTGCTGTGAATGGCCCAGGAGTTTCCACCAAGTCATTGTGGATATCGCCGAAGTGAATATTTAAACAGGTAGTTGGTGATTCCGACCAGAAATTTGGTTTGGTCCACCTTTTGTCGGGGTTGAAAAGGGTGATTTGGCTCCATCGATGCTTATGACCAATTTCTGGTCTAATCGTCTTGGGTCCTCTGCCGTTAGAGTGGATAAATAACCGGGATCAATACCCTTTACGTGCTTTCTCACCCCGTCCGTCATGTTGAATTAGTGTTTAGTGTAGTGCCGCCGACCAAAATAATTCCCAGCATGCAACGCGCGCTTTTGTCAACAATGAAACTCCCCTATAACAGAATTGTATGACCCTGAAGACGCACATTAAAAAAAATAATCAGTCGTTCACTGTTCTTTAAAAACTCTGCACTCTCTGTCAACTTTTCATACTGTAACACAAGTCATTTTGCTGTCCTTAACTGCACAACAGAACTCTGTGTCTACATTGACAATAACTGTTTGATCTCGAGGTTGTCAGGTGACGAAAATTCAGCGGCAAATTTGGTGTCAAATGTAAATACATCATATAATTATTTAAATATAAATACAAATACTTAATATAAATATCATGTTTAATTGAAAAAATCAACAAAATTCAAGATGCCATGACAACTTTGAAGGATTGCCTCATAGGGCCAGTTCAAGTTGTGGGGGGCAGAGGGGCTGGGGGCCGGTCAAAGGGGCATGGAGGACCCGAATTGACCCGTGGGCCTTAGTTTGATGACCCCTGCCCTAAAGTAAGGACATACTAAGCCTGAGTTATTCTTAATAATTAGGTCATTATGAATTAAAAGTGAAGTTATGATAAAGTGGTAGCAAAAGTTATGTAAAAGCCACTTCCAACAATGTCTAAGTGTCTACTGCCTACGTGTCCTTTAGCAAAACACACTTGACCCGCATAATCAAGTGCGTCTGGGTGTAGAGGAAGGGCATCCAGGTTAAGGAAAAGTCAACATGAGCTATACAAAAAAGTAAAGATTAAAAGTACGGATAAAAAAAAGACACTGAACACTGAAGCTTGTAATGACAAAAAAGTATCCGAGGGTTTCAGAATAATGAGTATTTGCTATGCCATTAAAAAAATAAAAACTAAATATTATGTTTTGAATGGTGATAAAGTCCATACAATTAAAAAGAAGTAAAAAGTAATAATACTGAGTTAAATGTTAGAGGTTTAGTTGAGGTTAATTTGGCGCCAAAATGTACACCGGTCTGAGATTTAAAATAAAAATCAGGTCAGCGGTTGGCATTTCAAACAAGTAGCAGGAAATGGCTCCCGCTCTCCGCTGTAAACACGCTCATTGTTTGTGAAAGAATGCAGCTTTGAGGCCGAGGTGTCCAGGTGTCCTCTGTCCCCCGTGTCCGACCCCACTTCCTGCCCTCCTCGTCCAGAACCGAACACTACGCACGTCCGCTCCACGCCAAGTCCGACGCAAATCCATTGTCTTGACCTGAGGAGGAAACAGCTCGTATTGTTTTAGCCATTAGCGCTGAGTAACCGTTGAAATGTCAGGCGATTTTTCAGATGTAGGGATGTAGTACAGTGTCTTTTTTTGGTGTAATAGGGTAAGAGTTAGCTTTCCGGTGTTTTAAAGGTCCTATGTTACGCAAAACTGACTCTTGGGAGTTTTAAGTCAAGTTAGAATCATAAATATACCTGGAGTTTTGTTTTGTTTCATTCACACATGTTTGAGTAAAGTTTCATTATTCTGTGGCCACACAACAACTCTCCTGGATTTTTTTTCTTTTTTGCGTCCACACATGTGCCGGATCAGTAAATATCCATGTCCACACGACAATGGAGCACTGAGTCACCTGTATGTGGCGCTGTTCACAATGATAATAATATTTAATAATGCAAATCTCATCACCGTTTTTTTTTAAACTTGAAGGTAATTTAGCCTGTTTTAGTTGTATCCCAGAAATATAGCCATTTTGTTTTGCAAAAGTTAAACATAAGTCACAGAAAGAGTCATGTCCTTTAGTCCGACAGAAGCTGAACTGCATCAGAGCACAATAGCGAGCTGTTTTTTGAGCGCTCCGTTTATGCAAATTAGCCATGCGGTTTTAAGTTTTGTTTCTGTAAAATGTAAACAAATATGCTCAAATCTGTGTGGATAGGGAACGCTTGCAGACACAAAAATCATAATTATTCACCGTGATGAGTCCAGAGTGGAGTTTTGGAGTCACAGTAAATGCCAACAACAACTAGCATGCTAATAGGGTTACTTCCTGGTTCGCGGACAATAAAAACGCTCTATAACTAAATGCAGACAGTACACAGTGGTTTTATTTTCGACTTCTAGTAGATCTGTACTGGGTCAAGACAAATTTTACTTTATTACTTTATTTCACTTTTTTGGTTAATGCATGGGATAAATAAGCCTTCTTAATATAAAGTCTTCAGCTTCTAAAGCTTGAATTATCTTGCATTGCATTATTAGTAAATCACCTCATAGCTTACTAATGATTAATAAATGCTCAAATAGTTAGTCCATGAGTAATTAAGTATGAAATAATTATGAGTAACTATGTACAGCACAGGCAAATTAAGTGCAAGTGCTAATTAAGGTAGTAATTAAGTAGTTACTAAGCGTGAATCATTATTAATTAAGCCTTTGTTCATGCTTTATTAAGGCTAAATAAGGTGTAGTTAATATAATGTGTTAACAATGCATCAACTTTACATTTATTCAATTACAGGTGGTTTTATAGCTCAAAAACGCCTAGAAAAAGGTATTCTGACTGTGAGCGGGGCTGCCTCTCCACAGATCTGACCTGTAACTTGGTCTGGTTTGGTGTCTGTGAAAATATAAAGGTTTAATGCCGCACTGTGAAATATTCCACATTCCAGACAAAGCGATTACATCTCCGTCGAGACAAAACTGACGGCACCTCCACCAGAAAAGCTGAGAAATGTACCTTTAAGTTTATAAATCAAATAATGGAAAAACACGTCTAAACTTTCTAAAATTGTTTACACTTCAAAATTCTTGGTAAAAACAGGCTGTAATGTGTCCAGTTTTCCTGCTGTGAAATCCTTTGTTTTGAGTCAACAGTACAAAGTGATAGCGAGTGTTCACATAGCAGATCGTAATCCTTTTGAGCCTTTTGTTTTTTTTGTCTGAGCTTTTCCCCTGCTTTTGTCTGACAGGTGCTCCGGAGGCGGCAGACAGCGTGAGTACAGAGGAACACGGCCCTGCATCATAAAAACATACACACGCATTCATATCCATACGCTAAATAATATAATCCCAAGCAAAAGCAAGTCTAGACAAGTTTATTTGTACAGCACAATTACACGTACGCAAAGTCATTCAAAGTGATTTACAGAATAAGAAAGACATCAAAATCACCACACAAACAAATCAAAACATAAATAATCGTCATAATATCAAAAGAGAGAAACATTAAATGAAAGAGAAGAGTACAAAATGAAAACAGAACCATTTTGAGCCAAAGTCGAGTCCTGTCTCACATGTTCACGAAGACTGTTCTGGGTTTTAGCTGCAGAAAACTGAAACGCTGACTCCACGTGTTTAGTTCAGACTCTGGGCCATAGACCGTTTACATGAATGGGCATAGCTAACGAGCTCGGTGCCGTGTTCCAAATAGGAAGTTCGCCAGGAGGTTCATCCGGCTTCTTCTGACTCTGGCTCCCATTCACTTGCGTTGGAATATAATATTGGCTCCTCTCTCTGTACCTGCTGCTGTGAGCCTCGTCATGTTTTTCAATTCAATTCAATTTTATTTTTTTCCACAATTTTCAATTATAACAAGGCACCTTTATACACACACCTTTATACATACATATAAATATATACATTTGACATACAATGGTCCCACGTTTATCACGGCGTTACGTTCTAAAAATAACCCGCGATAGGTGAAATCTGCGAAGTAGTCAGCTTTATATTTTGTAACGATTATAACTGTTTTAAGGCTGTAAAATCCCTCACCACACACTTTATACACTTTTTTTCAGACAGGACAACAAAAGCAAAACGCCATCAAAGCAAAACCCCAACCCCTCGCTCCACCTTAGTTACGAATTTAAAAAGTCAGCACGCCAAAACAAAAGGCACCAGCTGTTCACCAAGAAACACCTTCCACTGCAAAGCGACCAAGATGTGATGTTGCTGCAAAGTCCAACAAGAAAGTGAGAGCTCCGCCTGTTTGTCTTCTGCACCTCTCGCTTAACAAACGGGATTTTGCTTTGATGATGCTCCACATACAAAATGTTCGCTGCAAATTCGGGATGATTTCTTAGGCAGCCAAAAGGTTTCCTTTTTCATAGTTCCTGTGTATGAATCCTGCCCATTGTCTTCATCTTTCACTATTTTTCAATTCCGTTGGAAAGGGAAACAGTTTGAATGGAGGTTTGCAGTTACACACATCTGATTCCCTTTTGCATACCCATTTTTCAAGCCGTTTTCCGCTGTTAGGACATCCAACAACCACACAATTACGATGTCTGAATCCCAGAAGTAAAATATGACAATTATCAGAACCAGAAACAAAAGTGACATAGTTCAAAAGACTTGAAAAGATCGACTTTGACAATAGACACATCCCATCGGGAAATGAAACTCAGTGGTCTGATGCTTACGTTTTCGGAGGACTTTTCCCAGTATGCAATGCGCGATGACCGGAAGTCAGAAATTCAGGATGCATGTATTGGTTACTGTTTATTTATCTTTCTGAGTCCTTAAATGGATCTCTAAATCTCTAAAAAACATTTGATTCTTCTTTTGCAGCAGGCGTCGGTGGAGTACGCCGAGCTGAACCACGATGCCGAGGCCCAGAGTGGAGGCGGTAACCATGACGACCACACTGACACTGTCCAAGAGGAGAGCCGAGACGGGACCTGCGGAGAAAACTGTGAAACCAACGATGACACAGGAGGACCAGGGGGAGAAACCACGGAAACATAGTGTTATTTATCAAGGTTTTATATTTAGCTGTAAATCTTTGTACTGTAAACATTTGGAAATCGTCAAATAGAAATGTTTTTTAAAAAGTTGTCGCTTGGTTTATTTTTGGTACAGAAAAAGAATAAACATTTAAAGGGCCTATAATACTCTAGTCCTGCACAGGTCCATTGTTGGAGACCCGCACCCGCCCACCGATTGCCTGGACTACACCAGGACTGGACCGGAATTAAACCAGGATTGGACCAGGACTGAACAGGACTAAACCAGACCTGGACCTGGGCTAAACCAGGACTAAACCAGGTCTCAACTAGGACTGGATGAGGTCTAAACCAGGACTGGACCAAGACTAAACCAGGACTGGACCAGGACTAAATCAGGACTACACCAGGACTAAACCAGGACTAAACCAGCACTGGACCAGGTCTAAACCAGGACTAAACCAGGACTGGACCAGGACCAAACTAGGACTAAACCAGGACTGAACAGCCGTCGATTGGACATTGATACACATCTTCTCTCACACTGAAAACACTCTGTTCCACTTTGTGATGTCATGTGATAATACAGGAAGAGCTCCAGTGTGGTTTTAAAGTTCATGCACCAGAATTACCAGTATAATTTGGATTATTTCAGACATGGAACTGCTCATCTCATCTGAACAAAAGTAAAACGTAGCTGTGAACTTGTGGAGATTTTGGAGATGTAGACAGACTAATAATAAAGGGTTCGGGAGTGTGTAATTCCCGCGTGGACCACTAGAGGGCAGAGCTGATGCTGCTGTGGCGCGTGGAAACTTGGTGCCCTCTGCTGTGAGCTGTGAGCTGTGGAGAGGGATTGTCACAGTTACACAGCATTAGAGTGTTTCCACCAGAGCCTGTGTGTGTCTGTGGGGGAGTGACATAACACACAGTTAACAAACGCTTCAGGAATGCAGAGTCAAACTGTTTGAAATCACAAATTATCTCAACAAAGGCATTACAAAATTGTGCTATTCTTTGCTCAGAATAGTCCACAGTATGACATTAAGCGGCTCTACCTTACATTTATTCAGTTTTATAGTTTTAAAGCTCAAAAATACACAGAAAAATAAACATTCTGACTGTGAGTAAGGTCACAATCCGTGTATCATTTGTTCATTTGTTTTTCAAAATAAAACCAAAAATAAGAAAACAAAAAAAAAAAAAAATATAAATATATATATATATATATATATTATATATATATATATATATATATATATATATATATATATATATATATTTTTTTTTTTTATTTTTTTTTTTTTTTTTTCTTCATTATTTGTGTCCTAAACCAAATTGAAAAAACAGATAACGGATAATGATTGCGGTCTCAGTCCTGGTCTCAGTCTCATTCTGGTCCCAGTCTCAGTTCTGGTCTGGTCCCGGTGTCAGTTCCGGTTTCAGTCCTGGTCTGGTCCTGGTCTCAGTCCCAGTCTCAGTCCTGGTCTGGTCCCGGTCTGGTCTTGGTCTCAGTTCTGGTCTGCTCCGGGTCTCAGTCTTGGTCCTGGTCCCGGTCTCAGTCCCAGTCTCAGTCCCACTCTCAGTCCCGGCCTCAGTCCCGGTCTGGTCCTGGTCTCAGTTCTGATCACCCGACAGTCTACATTGACGCACCACCGGGCCCATCCCGACACTCAGTCCCATTTTAGTCCTGGTTCAATCCTGGTTCAGGAGGCAACCCCATTTTTGAATGCATGTTTTTCACTGTAAAACAGACATTCTGACTGTGAGCGGGGTCGCCTCTCCACAGATCTGACCTGTAACTTGGTCTGGTTTGGTTTCCATGAAGATTCCATGAAGTTTTAATGTCATACTGTGAAACATTCCAGATAAAGTAACAACATCTGTAATGTAGAAAAGCATTAAAAGTTGCACAATGCACCGTTATTGTTTACTTTCACACTTTGATGAGATTCATAATGAGTCAGGACACCGTTGCTTCCCGTCACCATAGCAACAGCATATGTGGGGTTCACCCGGTTTGCTAGACGCCCGGGTTATGCATGTAGTCCACAGTGGGAGATCTGAGCTGGAGATCCAATCCTCTGTCGATCAGCTGACTCCCGGCGCTAAGTCCCGTAGCCTGTCACCAATTACCGCCGCAGCGTCCTGTCCATTCTTAGCATGGGCCCCACTTCTCCTGTACGGACTGGCCTATGCATTCAAGCCTATTCTTATCTCGCCATAATCACCTTTACAGTTATCCTCACTTTGTCCTACACCTACATGCTTTGATCTCAGCTGTTACATAAAGACGTCTGGAATGTCTCTGCTCGCAAAATCATGTGACGATTGGCATTTCAGCATTTTGAATATTACAGTTGTTAGTATCTCTTGTATATTAATTTACTGGCTGATACTTTGATTGATAGAGAAAAATCCCACACACACAAACTTGCAAAATGTGAGATTTAGTAGGACCAACAGTGCAGCATTTCGGCACAAAACAGTTTTGTCTGATGAAGGCCTAGTGCCAAAACTTTGCACTGTCTCTCCTAATAAATTTCACATTTTGCAAGTAAGACGGTGTGAGGGATTTTTCTCCATGTTCTTGGGTTGCTCCCTCTCCTTTAATGCACCCGTCTCAAGAAACTGATGTGCGAAGTTCACATTCTTTTATTACTTTGACTGATAAAAGGTGTGAGAGTTCCCAATTTACAGTTTTTTGGGTGGGTTTCCGGATTTCAATGGCCCCTCAGATTCAAAGATGGTACTTGTTGCTCTCTGTACCAATGCCAATGCGTTGTCCCAATCCATCAGAAGGTTTTCCCTCTTGCAAAGGTCTGAGTAGGGCTGGGTATCATTAAGAAACTGCCAATACGATACAAATTTCAAATCAATTTCATATGGTTCAGTAAAAAATAAAGGCTAAATCATGGCTGTGATACTAAAAGTCTTTGTTAAACCACTTCTTGTGCAAAAGTAATATTAAACATGCCCGTAAATGTGCTGCATACGAGTTTCCTTCCTCTAATCCAAGGATCCTCCAACCCTTGAGTCTGGTGGCTGTGGGTCGTTTGGTACTGGGCAGCGAAAACATGAACCCCCCTTTCATACGCCTGTGTGGACCACTCCTCCTCCCGTCCGCTGTGTGGGCCATGTCTCTAAATCAGAACTAAACCAAAACTAAAACCAGGACTAAACCAGGTCTAGACTAGGACTAAACCAGGTCTAAACCAGGACTAAACCAGGACTAAAACCAGGATTAAACCAGAACTAAAAACAGAACTAAACCAGGACTAAACCATGTCTAAACCAGAACTAAAACCAAAACTAAACCAGGACTAAACCAGGACAAAACCATGTCTAAACCAGGACTAAACCAGGATTGAACAGGACTAAACCAGGTCTGAACCAGGATTAAACCATGTCTAAACCAGGATCAAACCATGTCTAAACCAGGATTAAACCAGGTCTAAACCAGGACTAAACCGTGTCTAAACCAGGACTAAACCAGGACTAAACCAGGACTAAACCATGTCTAAACCAGTACTAAACCAAGACAAAGAGAAGATCTATCCATAGTCAAACCAAACTGAATCCTCCCCCTGTCCCCTATTCCCTGGTCCCTGTCCCCTGTCCCCTGGTCCCTGTCCCCTGTCCCCTGGTCCCTGTCCCCTGTCCCCTGTCTCCTGGTCCCTGTCCCTTAGTCCCCGTCTCGTGGTCTGGTCCTGCTTTCCTCATCAGACTGATCACTTAACCCTAGACGGGCGTTGACATGAGGGAACAGCGCATTCTGGCCAGCGCAGATGGACATTTGCATAACTACTTGGCTCAAAGAAGGTGTGAACGTTTTAATAGAAAGCTGTCCGTGTATTTTCAGTTCTGCACTTATATCCTCTTCACAGTGACTGAATGTCTCCTCACGTCTCACGGCAAGAGGGTTCAGGGTTCATCTCCCAGGTGGTCAAGACTATTTCTTAGTTTCGAAAGAAAGTTTGAAGTGAAAACAATATATGCTTTAGAAGTTGACATATTGGACTCTTCTATGGGCTTTGGAGGTGACGCATTAATGTATGACGCATTCATCTTATAAAAGGATAAACGTAAAAATATAAATTACCTTTGCAACAAAATCATCTGCCACCTCAACCTCTTTCCTCTCTCCACTCCTGGCAAGTCGAGGTCTAAGCATCAGATTTCACCAGTTCAATAAACTATTCACTGCATTTGAAAAGTTTTTAATGTGCAAACTTTGTGTTGTCAGTGGAATATTTAGCAGAATTTTGAATAAAAATTTTGAGTTTATATAAGCTGGGACCCTTTGCCCACATAGCGCCTGTGCCCACGTCAGGCCTGGCACGGACGCACTGAATTTACTACTGTCCCTCCAGTCGTGAGGTCATGTCCATGCAGATATACGGGCTCATGTTACTGAGATACCAACTTCCCACCCACGTATCCCAGAGCCTCCGCAGGTCACATGATCACAGGGCTGAATCCAGCTTCAGCGAGAGAAGACAAGAACCAGAGAGACTAAAACAGACCTGTAGAAAAGAGAACTATAATGAGTTTATCGATTGGATTTGGGCCTAAGCAGATTGTAAAAGAAGGAATCTGGTTCAGAGTCTGAACATTATTGATAGTGAGGAAGAGGAGGAGATGGCTGAGGAGGCTGAATATTCTGCTGCTGAAGTATTTATATGCATGAAAAAGAGAGGGAAAGATGTGACTAAAGCAATAAGAATAATGTAATTGGTTGAATTTTTCCAGAATGTTCCTGCAAAATTGTGGCCAGAGGTGGGACAAAATGTATTTGTTTTAGGTCCTGACAGTCTTTTCAATACAAAACTGAATCAACACTGCTCAAATGTCACCCCAAAGGACCACGTTTGGCCCACAAGCTCCACATTGAGCCCTCCTAATCTATGTAGTTATAGTAAACATATTTTGCATTCCATTATGTTTTTCAGTGTGCAAAATGACCAGTTGGGTTATTATTAATATTTATATTTGTATTCATATATTGCCTGGAGAAGATGGGCTGGTAGATACATGATACCCACCCTCATCTAAAAAATAGAGAAATAATTTAAGTTATGGATCTATTATTACCGTTCATAAAAATG